AAATCTTCCCAGGTAGACTAGCCCAGACTGACAACTCTGGGGCTTTCTTGGAATGAGGACAGGAGATTCCCCTTTTTGCCTGAAGACACAGCAACCCACAGCCACACCTGACTCCCTCACACATAGAAACAGCCTAGTTCCACAAGCGAACCTCATCAAATTGCCAAGCCACCCAATCAGTTCACCCCCATAGCTCCTGGAGCACAGGGTCACATACACAATACCTCCAAATTTCATAGCATTGTCATCCCAGTAGGATCACAGCAACTCTGATGGGAAAGTTGCAGAGAAGAACACCAAGTAAAATGAGTGAGAACAATAACACAGAAGGCTCAACTAGCAGTAACACCATTGTGAGATATAACTATGACCACAAGTTGACTTTGATTGATTTAAGTTTTGATAATTTGCCATTTGCCTTTATGGTGTAACAAACAATACGAAGTAAATTTGTTTGTGCCTGTTAAAGGGGTGGTAAGTGGGAAACTGAGGACATTAGTGGAGGGAAGATCACACTGGTGGTGGGATTCGTGTTGGCACATTTAATACCTGAAACAACTGTATTTTGAGCAACTTGGGTAAATCATTGTTATAATTAGTAAAGGTAAAGGTAAAGGCCCTCCCGTTGATCGTCGATTTGCTCGAGCGGGCCCAGTAACGTCTCCATTGGAGACTTTGTTGTTACTGTGTCTGGCATATCGAATACTCTCGGTAGCTTGTCGGGCTCTCGGAGAGGGGCGGAGGAATCGAACTCGGGTCGGCCATGTTGGCCGCTTGTAAGGCGAACGCCCTACCCGCTGTGCTATCGTTCCAGCAATAATTTAATTAATATAAATTAAAAATAAATTTTTTTAAAATATTTTAAAAATTTTAGAAGGAGGCAGTTTGAATCATGGTGTGGCCAGCAAGGGCGAAGGCCTTGTATCCCACCAGCTGTTTCTGTGCCATGCTTGCTTGAGTTTCAGCAGACAGCATCCACTGACACCTGAAGTCCAGAACCAACAGTCACAGGTGCTAGGCACCATCACTGCCATGTACAGTACAGCCATCATGGAGTACTTCACTGTGGAGGCATTTGGATTAGCAGGAAAAGGACTTAAAGGTAAAGCATTATCACTCTTCACATTTTTAACTTACAATTTTTTTAATTTTGGATTATACACGGTGATGCTTAGGGGTTACTCCTGGCTCGGCACTCAGAAATTACCCCTGGCAGTGCCTGGGGACCATATGGGATGCTGGGGATCAAACCTGGGCCAACCAAGTGCGAGACAAATGCCTTGCCTGCTGTACTATCATTCCAACCCTGCAACTTTTGGAGATGAGGAATTCAATTCCCTCATCAAGGCTACAATTTCTGGTGGTGATTGTGTTGCACACACCCACAAGTCTGATTGGGAAGAAAGGACAAGAGGCTGTGTAAAGGCTTCCTGCCTTCTCTGCTCTCTCAGGACCCCAAGTACTCTGACAGCTGTCCTGTGTCGGTGATTCCAGCAAACTGTATCTCTGTAACACAATTTTGCCTTTTTGTAATTCTTTTTTTTTTTTTTTTTTTTTTTTTTTGCTTTTTGGGTCTCACCCAGCGATGCACAGGGGTTACTCCTGGCTCTTCACTTAGGAATTACTCCTGGCGGTGCTCGGGGGACCGTGTGGGATGCTGGGAATCGAACCCGGGTCGGCCATGTGCAAGGCAAATGCCCTACCTGCTGTGCTATCACTCCAGCCCCCGCCTTTTTGTAATTCTATCTGGGCAAGTTGGTGTAGGTTTGGTGAACCCCAGAACCAACTGGCAGGGAGTAAGAGGCAGAATCAATTATGACATTATGGTTTTCCAAGGGAGAACAGCAAAAGGGCTCTAGATTTTTCTTACAAACACACCATACTTCTTAAGTTCCAAAGAGGTGCTACAGCAGATTGGTAGGGGAACCGTGGCTGCAGTAAGCTTGCCTAACTAAGCCAGAGAATAAAACTAATAGAAGACAATTAACCCTCGCGTTTTTCCAAATGAGAAGGAAAAAGTGAGTCAGTGAATGGGTAAATTCCCCATTTAACAATTCATGTCAGACTTTTCCTTTGGTTTGGGGGCCATACCTGAACTGCTGCTGGCAGAGGCTGGAAACACTGATCCCGGTATACTCAAGGGAACTGCGTGGCACCAGGAATTGATCCCAAGCTTCCAGCACGCAAAGCATGCACTCAGCCTATTGAAATCTTTTTCCAGTCCCTCTTTCTGCCTTTATTTTTTATTTTATTAGTGAAGCACCATGAGGTACAGTTGTAGATTTACAAATCTTTGTGCTTGGGTTTCAGTCATACAATGATCAAATACCCATCCCTCCACCAGTGCCCATTTTCCACCACCATGGATAATATCCCCCCCACCCCCACCCTGCCTCTGTGGCAGGGCATTCCCTTTTGTTCTCTCTCTCCTTTTGGGTGTTGTGGTCTGCAAAAGAGGCATTGAGTGGCAAACATGTTCAGTCCATAGTCTACTTTCAACATGCATCTCCCCTCCTGGGAGGATCCTCCGAACACTCTTTATTTGGTGCTCCCTTCTCTATCTGAACTGCCCTTTCCCCTAGAATACCCGGCTGGCCTCTAAGCTATGACAGACACTGCTTGAGTGCCATTCTAGATTTAAAATTCACTAAACAGAAAGGGTCTGCTCTTTTCTTCCATCACTAGCTGTAGTAGCTATAAGGAGGGCTTACTGACTGCCTTTAGTTTGTCAGGAAGGAAGAACAAGTATCACCGATCAGGGTTGCTCTATTTCTAAATTAAGGAGAGGGTTAAAAGGTTGATATTTAATACGAGACATTAAAAAGGGATTGTGTGTGAGATTTATAGTTATCCTATCATACAATATAACTAGTAAAAATAAGGCAGTTTTACATGAGCTGATAGTCATTATCCAGGATTAAATATAAGGCACAGTATGTGAAGTGCCATCATTTGTGAAAGACAGGGAAAATAGCTTAAAATAAGAGTTTAGCTCTAGAAGAACAAGCTGCAACATTTGGTGGATAAAGTCAGGAAACTTGGAGAACACGGAATTAGGGTGAAAGACTTTCTCTTCCATAAATATACTTTTTTATATATACATAAACTTTTGTTCACAATAATTTATTACATTCAATACTCCAGCACAAATCCCACCACCATTGCACCTTCCCACCACCAGTATTCCCAATTTTCCCAACCATCCCCAATAGCAGGCCCTAAATAATTTATTTTATATTGCTTGTTATGAATGACTTGCTAAAAATTACCCAAAAAAAGATTTTCTTATAAGAAAGTATGTGAAGATTGTTGTATCTCACCCTGAAGCCATTAAGTCCTTGTATAAGAGATTACTACCATGTTCCTTGTGTGTTAGGTTTTTTTAAAATTTTATTTTATAAGGTAGTTCACAATATTTGATTACATTTAATATTCAAACACCAATCCCGCCACCATTACACCTTCCCACCACCGTATTTGGGATTTTTCCATCCCAAGCTCCAAGCCCTGTCCCAACATACAACTGAAATAATATATTTGGTATTGTTATAATAAACTGCTGAAAATGCTACAAAAAAGTATTCATGGAGGAAATAGTGTGAAGATTGCTCTATTTTGGCAGGGGCCATTAAGACCTTCTTTAGGATATCACAAACATGTTGTTAAAGGTTGAGTGATGTGAACTCTCATATATATATATATATATCTGAAAATATATATATGCATACACACACACACACACACACACATATATGATTGGTTGCTTACTGTCTGAACCCCATCAAATGTGGTGTGGTACTCTTGGAGAATGGGTAGGGAGTGTCTTATAATTTACATATTAATAATAAAGTTCAACTAGGGATTAACTGATTTTAATTCATTTAAAGTAGAGTAAAAGAAACATTGAGGATCTGGAGGGACAGACATAGAATGACTGTGCTCATTTGTGGAATATAATAACATAATGGGAGACTAAAACCCAAGAATAGTAGAGATAAAGGCCAGGAGGATCATTCCATGGCTTGGAAGCCAGCCTCACATATTGGAGGAAAAGGCAGTTGACCACAAGTAAAGGATCCTTGGAGGGCTCATTCAGGATGGGAGATATGTGCTGAAAGTAGACTACGGACTGAACATGATGGCCACTTAGTACCCATATTGTGAACCATAACACCCAAAAGGAGAGAGAGAGTAAAAGGGAATGTGCCTGCCACAGAGGCGGTGGGGGGGGGGGAGAGATACTGGGGACATTGGTGCTGGAGAATGGGCACTGGTGGAGGGATGAGTACTTGATCATTGCTTGATCATTATATGACTGAAACATAATCACAAAAGTTTGTAAGTCTGTAACTGTATCTCACGGTGATTCATTGAAAAAAAAATTTTTAGATGAATAAAAATGACGATAAAAAATAAAATAAAATTGAGGGTCTGGAGCTGGAGCAATAGTACAGCAGGTAGGGTGTTTGCCTTGCATGCAGCCATCTTAGGTTTGATCCCCAGCATCGCATATGGTCTCTGGGAGTAATTTCTGAGTGCAGAGCCAGGAGTAACCCCTGAAAATTGGCAGGCATGACCCCAAAAGCCCCCCCAAAAAAATTTGAAGGTCAGGAGACCTTAATCTTAATCAGGCTGTGTAATTTGGGGCATGTCGTTTTACCACTCTGGGTACCATTTCCTTAACTTACAAGGAATAAAAATCATAACAGATGGTCTTCCCTTCAAAAACCCATCATGCAAGGCTGCTTCTAATTCTCATCCCCTCTGAACTTGGTACTGGAGAGCACTGTACCAGAGAACAATAATCAAATCACAAATATAAAGAAAAATCATTTGAATAGGGCTGGAAAGCTATTACAGGGGTTATCATGCTTGTCTTCCACGTAGCTGACTCAAGTTAGATTCTCAGCACCACATAAGGTCTCCCTAGCACTACCACAAGTGATCCCTGAACACTGGATATGGCTTCCAAGACAAAATAAGAACAATAGCAATTTCTGTAATAATACATTTATTTAACCCAACATATCCAAAATATTATCATTCCAACATGTAATCAATCAAAAGAAGTAATGTATAAATGCTTTGAAATTCAGTATACTTTTACAAGTGTTCAAAAGCCATGCTGCCAATGGAAGACATAATACCCATCAGCTCATGGGTGGCTGATGTAGAGTAGGGAGGAAAGGTGGCAGTCTCAAGAAAGTATCCATCCCTTTCTATCCACCCTGGGCACCCAGGGAAGTGCCTGGAAAATCTAGGATTGATGAAAGAATCAATTATCTCATTCCCACTTTGGACAAACTGGCAGGCTACCGAATGTAGCCTGCCCACACGGCAGAGTCTGGCAAACTCCCTGTGTCGTACCCAATATGCCAAATACCAGTAACAATGATGGGTCTCATTCTCCTGAAGAGCCTTGAATATAATCTCTGGGCTAGGATGAAGGAGACGGTACTGGGGCCTGCTCGAGGAAATCGACGAATAACAGGATGGTCGTGATTCGTGATGAAAGAAAGTCCACTCTGAGCACCTGCACGTTAAAGATCTCATGTCTCACCAATCCCACAAGGTCATCTGGGTTCCATTTATTCTGTCAGCAGTGTGAGAAATGACCCTGCCACCTGACTTCTCAGGGAGTTGTGGAGCCCAGCCTGGAGCAAGGAATTGTTCTTCGCAGGAAAGGAAAGTCGGTCCTAAATCTTACCCAGGCCTTTCAGGTCCACTGCCTTTCCTCCACATAAAAAGAACTGAAGGAGAGGAATATAGAAGTAAAACAAGTTTATTTGGGAAGAAGGGAAGGAAAGAGAAGTAGATAAAACTCATGATTAAGAGAGTACAGGGCTTCACCAGAGTGGAAAAAGCAAAGTCCACATCCCAAGCAGGGGTGCATGAGACACTTCCCCATAGGGGGGGAATTGTGCCCTAGAGTAAGAAATCTTGGGCAGATTCGGGAAAAAGAGGTAACTCAAGGCTAGAAAAGTACACATCTCAAGAGAAGTGGGCAAGTATGTGTCTCTTACTCTGCCAAGTTAGTTTATATACAATTTTCCCAAACTCCTCCCCTGATCCCCCCACCGCACCAGGCCCAGTCCCTTGCTAGAGTGGTTGCCAAGGGTAAGAACTTAGAGCAGTTGGTCTTCTTTTAATATTCTCACATGTCCTTGATCAGGAAATGAGCCTCCGTTCCCCAGGGATGCAGCCCCCTCTCTTCTCAGGGAGCCAATCTTGCATCTGACCAGGAATTCTGCATATCAATGGTTTTCTGGGGTCCTGAGAAGTCCTTTTGTCTCAAAGTCCTGCAGGTCTTTGGGCTGATTTCAGGCTCCAGAGAATTTTCCCCAACAAACATTACTCCATCTTCTGCCTGGAAGAGTCACATTGGCTAATGTTCCTACATGAACAGTATTATGTAAGTCTAACAAAGAAGCCCTCTTCACTTCTGACCTTATTACACCTGCAGATGAAGAATGATAGTAGTATCAGCCTACATTCTTAGAAAAGATCAGCGTCATCTGAGCATTTCTGGATCTAACACACCATCTGATGAGGAAAGTAGCTGGCCAGGCTACCAGGTAACACTGAAGACTAAAGGAGGTGAAACCAGTTACAAGTAGTCACCTACACTGTGAGTGACAGATCACAGATCCAATCCGGACAAGCCATACTCTTCAGCTTCAAAAAGGTTACCTAAGACAACGACGACTATCACAATTATAAGGCCCTGAGTCACTATCACAGAAAGGATATGGAACAGTAATTTGGAAATGGGCTATTGAGAAAGAGGTGACCCTGAATAAATATGGAACGCTGAGTTCACCAGCAAAAGGAAGTAGGAAGCAGACCTTGCAGAGGGAATAGCAGAGAGGAAATGCAGTGCTCAGAAAACTGTAACTGGCTGTACAGCTAGAGGGTAGCATGCACCACACAGGCATTAGCATGAAGCTGCAGAAGCGGTCTTAAATTCATGGAAATTCTGGGTTTTATTCTCTGGGTCCTGGGGGCTTTCTCCAGGTAAACAGGACATTTTCATGACAAGACATCAGTCTAAAGAACATTCAAAGCTTACAGTATTCTTAACTGATTAAAAGCATTATGCAAAATTATATAAAAGCATAGGTTTATCTCCTACAGAATTGAACCATACCTGAGACTTAACCTTTCAAGGGTTATCTTAACATGCAAAATTTACTTACTCTGCCCATTTTACTAAAGAGGAGCTGCAGACTCCTGGAAATAACCAAAGAAAAGCTAATTATGCACCACCTACATTAATTTTTTAAACTTTATTTGAGTTTAGGTTCTATATCACAGTATTAATGTTGATGGTTTTGATATTCAGTTACCACACCTCATCATCCCAAAGTGGCAGCACCTTCCACAGTGTCCACCTCTTTGGTTCCCCGACAAGGTCAAAGTTTATCATTCCACACAATCTATTCTCTTTTTGTTGTTCTATATATCACAGATGAGTGAGAACTGTGATTTGTCTTCCTCCCACTAACTTATTTCACTTAACATGATCCTCTGCAGTCCACCCAAGTTGTAATGAACTGCAAGATTTCATCTTCTTATGGTTGCATAGTATTCCAAAAGCTGTATATATACAACTTCTTTATCCATTCATCAGTCACTGGACACAGGTGATTTCCACATCCTTCAGACTTTCCAAGTACTACATTGAACATAGGTATGCATATATCTTTTCAAATTAATGTTTTTGCATTTATGGGATAGATACCAAGAAGTAAAACTGTCGAGTCATATGGAAGTTCTCTTTTTACTTTTCTGAGAAGTCACCATACTGTTTTCCAAAAGGCTGAACCAAACGAGTCTGTTCATCTCTTTTTTCCCATTTTGGATGGGGTTACTGGATATTTTGTTGCTGAGCTTTGTGAGTGTTTTATATGCCTTGGATATTATCCCTTTATCTGGTGTACCATGTGCAAATATTTTCTCCCATGGGGTAGGGAATAGCTCCTATATTCCCACATCAACACTGACTGAGGTCCTAGGAAGGGCAGTTTTTAGGGTCATTAAGCACAGAAGGCTGAGCCCATATGGACACTTTTCAAACCTTGACAGAAAAGCAATGCTCTACATTTACTTGCACAGAAACATGTAAAAATCTTGTGACCAATGACAGAAAACACTGACATAGTCCAAACATTTGCCCATACTCAAATGCTAAGGACCCAAGGCCTACCGTCTCTAACAATGAATAAAGTTGTTTGTTGTCTTCTAAATCCCTATCCTTCCTCCGCTCAACCCTCCTAGCACACCAGTTCTAACTCACCTGATTACTACCCATTTTCAGCTCCTCAGGCTCTGAGCCTGGCCTATTTTTCTTGGCCATGTACACAGAATTATCTGTGCACTATACAAGGGAATACAACTACAATAGGACACAGAGAAGAGGAAGCCTCCCTGGCGAGTGTGTACCAGGGAGGCAGGGAAACAGGCAGAACCTAATAAAAACAAGAATTAGATAAAAGTACAAAAATACGACTGCTACACAAAAGGAAAGGAGTTTTTAAATGGGTTAGAGAGGACAAAGATACAAAGTGTAAAGAGGACCTGGCCACTGACAACCTGGAAAAATGAGGAGATGCCCAAGGGGCACCAAGCAAGATTACTTTACCCAATGGGAAGAGCTGGGCAGCCTCACTTTCTTTAAAAAACCACGTGGGGTCTGAGAGATAGCAGAGAAATATCTTGCTTTGCACGTCACTAACCCTGGTTCAATCCCCAGCACAACATATGGTCCCCTGTGCACCACCAAGAGTGACCCTTGAGCTATTTCCAGTATCACAAAAAAAGGGGGGAGGGGAACCCCAATAATTATAAAAATAAAACGAATAATACTGAGAAATGAACCCCTTGCCAAGAAAGAATGTATTAAGGATGAAGTTTCTTTATCCATCCTCTTTTATGAAAGGTTGTAAGAGGTTTTAGAGGACCTATGCCCTCTGGCCTCGCTTTGTCTCTACATTTCCTACCTAAAAAAAGTGGGGTACAATGGAAGAGCATTCACGTAACAAGATATAGTTCACCTGACTGAAACAATTCTTTGTAGAGTTAGAGAGGCCCCATCCATGCAGAAGCCTATACAACAACGGGAAACAAGGCTGCAAGGATGAGTTAGTCTCTTCTGTGGCCGCAGATGTGGGAGGAGGTATGTTGGGACAAATGAGAAAGACAACTCAGTCATAGGAACTGGTAGAGGTGAGAAAACACGGCCTCCCGGAGACGGTGGAAGATCTGGGCCAGCTTGTAGAGGAAGGGCAGGGAAAAAGGAGATGCTGTGGGAGAAAAGGGAAAGCTGTTACCAATGTGCCTCCCTTCATCACCCTCCTCTCACAGTAAAGGTACCCCGTCCCCATTTCCTCAAAAACTATCACATAGGGGTTATACATTTTTTCTAAAAATATACTTTAAAGTCTGGAGAGATAGTACAGTGGGTAAGAAGTTTGCCTTGCATGCAGCCAACCTGATTTGACCCTTGGCACCCCACATGGTCCCCCAAGCACTTCCAAGAGAGATCCCTGAACACAGAATCGGGAGAGTCTGAAGCACCACTGGGTAATATATATATATATATGAACTGTCCACTCTGTCCTCCACTGTTCATCGATTTCCTCTAGCGGGCCCAAGTAACGTCTCCATTTTGTTAGCTGTTTTGAGACTTGTTCTTACTGTGTTTGGCATATTGACTACGTCATGGGTAGATTGCCGGGTTCTCTGAGAGGGGCAGAGGAATAGAACTCGGGACGGCCATGTTAGCTGTGTGCAAGGCAAATGCCCTACTGTTGTGCTATCGCCCCAGCTATACATATATATATATGTATATATATACACATATATGCACATATGTGTTATATATATTTATTTTATATATAACATGTATAGATATACAGTGACAGAAAATATAATATAAATATTATATATACACATATTGTATAAACACTTACATACAAAGATACATATCTTTGAATTGCAATCTCCAAAATTATAAAGAATTTCATATTCTCTAGGATGATGTTCTCTAAGCTCTAGACCCTATTTTCTTCACTTTGACAGTGACATTGATTACCTTAAAATTTCTGAGGAAAAGATTCAAATTTACTATGCTTTTTTTTTTTAAGTAAAGGAAGATAGCATTTATTGAATGGAATTTACTTAGAAAGACATGAGTAGGGGGCTGGAGAGCAAGAACAGTGGGCAGGGCATTTGCCTTGCATGCAACCAACTTGAGTTCAATCGCTGGCACTGCCTATGGTCACTTGGGCACCATCATGAGTGATCCCTGAGCACAGAGCCAGAAGTAAGTCTTAAGACTAGCCAGGTGTGGCCCAGGCATGGCTCCTAACCACACAAAAAATGCAAGAAACCGTTCCAAACTGCAAAAAAAGTCACAACGATAAAGCAACAAAGAAACCAAGAGACTTAGTGAGTAAAGATGCCAGCCCAGTTGACCCAAACAGTAACCTCTTTGATAAGGAATTTTGAATCGAACACTTAAGGATGCACACAGAGCTCAAAGGAACAATGAACAAGACTAATGCTTTGTTCCTCCCACAGGTCAGACAATCAGTGGGCGAGGTTTTCTGGGTAGCAGTTGCCAGGTAATCTCTCCCTCCATATCCTGTAACAATCACATCATGGCCTTTTATTCTCAACTCTCACCAGGACAGCCTGTACACCCCAACCACATTAGTCCAACAGTCCATTAGCCCCTGCTCCACTCAATATTCCCCCAAAACCCAAAAAAGTAGCAGTAAGAACAAGAAACAATACAACCCTAATCAAAAAGTAGTGATTCAGGACAAAGAATGCACTCACTACAGTGCAAGAGACTCCACACAATTACATAAGGAACACCAAATTGGACGGTAATATCCTTGACTGGAAAAAAAGAGATGACCACTCACAGATTTCCCCTAGAGTCCTCCCTGGTAATGAAAGGGAAATGCTGAATAGTGTATTGGAAAGAATCACCTCCAGATCACCACAGGCACCATGGGAACAGCACAGAACCCCACCATGAGGAGTGAAGATAGGAGTTCTGTGCTCAACGAGGAATGCCCACATACATGATCTCTCTGATAAAGAATTCAGAGACAAATTCAGAGGATGTTTAGTGAGCTCAAGGCAGTGGAATGGACATCCAATAAAGCACAGGAGGATCACTGTATCACTGTATCAATGTCATCCCATTATTCATCAATTTTCTTGAGTGGGCACCAGTAACGTCTGCATTCGTCCAAGTCCTGAGATTTTAGCAGCCTCTCCTTACTCGTCTTACTCCTCTCCTTACACAGGCAGACATGAAAGGGGAAAAAAAGAAAACTACAAGGAGAAATATCATTAATAAAAAATGAAATAAAAAACTCAATGGATGCCCCCAACAGCAGAGTAAAAACAGAATCACTGAGCTCGAAGAGGAGATGCAGAAAACCTCCAGGCAATAGAAGATTAAAAAAGACCTTAAAGTAAATCAACAGCAGACAAGAGAACTATGGGATGAATTCAAGAGGCACAACATGAGAACCATCAAAGTCCTAGAGGGACAAGAAGGTAACCACAATGAGGAAGTAACAGTCAAAGACATCACTGCTGAAAAGCTGGAGAAATGGAGCATCCAGGTCCAGTAAGCCCAAAGGGTACTAGCTAAAAGAGGCCCTAATAATAGACTCTAAGATATATCCTAATCAGAATGACAAAAACCATATATCTATATTTTTGTGTCCACAATAAAAGACTGAAAGTGGATATATTTTAACAGTAGACTGCTAGAAAATTTATTTTATTTATACTTTTCTCTTTTCTCTTTGGAGGGAGGAGGCACACCAGCAGTGCTCAGGGTTTACTCCTGGCTCTGCACTCAGTAATCACTCCAAGTGGGCTCAGGAGACTATCTGGGATACAGGGGATCAAACCTCCTTGGTTGCATGCAAAAAAATGTGTCCTACCTACTGTACTATTGCTCCAGCCTCATCTATTTTTTACATTTTCAAAAATATACGAGTATTTCACTTACAACTGTTTTAAATTAACATAAGTTTTGTGGACACAATGATAATTTTGGGAAGGAGGGTAGTGACCTCCCAAGGGATGCTCAGGAGACCCAGGGGTCCCTCCCAGAGATTCTCAACCAGGTCAAAGGTTCACTGCAAAGGCCCCAGGATACAACACTGCTTAACCCCTTAGATAACGAAACACCAATTGGTGCTCAGGGGCCCTTAGAACCACAGCAGAAAGTGCTCGGGGGCATCCAGGGTTGGGCAATCATGTAGTGCCAGAGATCAAACCAGAATTGGCCACATACATGTACACATCTTAACCTCTATGTCCAAGCCAAGATATTTTCTTTGATTCTGAGACTCTAAACGGAGTTCACCTTAGGATAAAACAGACCTAGCTTCTTAAACTGTAGGTCGAGGTCCCGTACACGATCATACGACTAAATGTGGGATTAGCAAAGAATTTATTTACTATAAATTTATGATTTATTATTAGCAAATGTTTGATTTGTATACCTATTTTATATATCCAAGGTAATGTAAAAACTTTTCAGGTGATATGGCATTACAAGTGGAAAAAGTTTAAGAAGCCTTGAAATAAATAACTAAATAACTCAAAGTCAGTGTTTCGAAGTCAACAGAGTAGAGCTGATTTACTCTCCTGACTCTTCTCACGGACTCCAGACCGGTCTCTCCTCCGAGGTGGGCTCGGACTAGCTTTTCCTCAGTGAGGAATTCCCCTTGTAGAAGAGGAACCTCGGAAAAGAGGCACAGGAAAGACCTTCATCCCCAGGAGGGCTCCCACAGGCCCAGCTCCTGTCAGCTGTCCCCTCCCCAGGAAGGACTGGAAGGGAAATAGGCTTCATCACTCACCTCGATCAAACCTCAACACCAAGAAGCAGAGGATCAAAGCAGCTAGGAGACTCTTTTTGAAAGGCAGAGAAAAGAAGTGGTTCACTGCAAAGTCCCGAAGTCTGCGAAGCAGAATCAGTAGTGACAAGAACTTATGAGAAGAGCAACCTGGCAGGGAAACAAAAATAAGTTATAAAAATCAGCTTCCTAACACAGTTTTGAGCTTGGCTTTAAAAGCTGAGCACACAGGAACAAGATTAGCTTTCTCATACAGTTTATAAAGCTCCAAAATGGATTTTTTTGTTTTTATTTTTAAGCCACACCCAAGCAGTGCTCAGGACTTATTCCTGACTCTGTGTTTGGGGATCACTCCAGGCAGGCTCTGGGGACCCTTCTAGAGTGCTGGGGATCAAACCAGAACTGGCAAACGCCCTACCTGCTGTACTTACTGCCCCAACGCCAAAGCTCCAAAATGGTTGTAAGGGACGATTACAATATCATTTCCTTATTCACTTCACTTAATCACTTAACTTCCCGTTAGTCATCGATTTGCTCGAGCGGGCGCCAGTAACGTCTCCATTTGTCCCTGTCGCGTGCTAGTGTAGCCCAATGGCATCTCTTCGCTCCGGGAACATGGAGGGCCTCAAACCGATCGTTCATGATCTTGACAAAGAAGTCTGACCATCTGGTAGGTGGGCGGCCACGCGGTCTCTTGACATCCCGTGGAATCCAATCAGTAACAGCTCTAGTCCAACGGTCGTCTTTAAATCTCATTACGTGACCAGCCCATCTGATTTTCGACACCTTGGCAAATGAGACAGCGTCCCTGATCCTTGATCGTCGACGGATGTCAGAACTCCGGATTTGTTCTCTCATTTGAGTGAAACGTGATATTCCAAGCATAGCTCTTTCTATTCTTCTTTGGGAGACCTGAATGGCGTTCTCATCTTGTTTGCGTAGGGCCCAGGTCTCTGAGGCATATGTTAATGCAGGAAGAACAGTGGAATCAAAGAGATGTGCCCGGAGCCGGAGGTTCTTCGTCCTCTTAGCTATTTCTTCGACGTTCTTGAAGGCGTTCCAAGCCGCTCTCTTCCTCCTGCGCAGCTCGGGTGCCAGGTCATTTGTCATGTTGACCTCTCGACCTAGGTACACATAGCTGTTGCATTCGGAGATGGTCGTTCCATTGAGAGCGAATGGGGCGTCAGGAACAAGGCTGTTTCTCATAAACATTGTCTTCGTAAGATTCAGCTGTAGTCCTACCTTTCCACACTCACGGTCAAAGTCAGCCAGCATTTGTGCCGCTTGGCTGATGTTTGGTGTTATTAAAACAATGTCATCAGCAAAGCGGAGGTGGTGTAGTTGCCGACCATCTATCTTCACTCCCATTCCTTCCCATTCCAGTCGTCGCATGATGTTCTCGAGGGTGGCACTGAAGAGTTTTGGTGAAATGGTATCACCCTGCCGCACCCCTCTCTTGACATCAACGATCACTTCTTTGTAGAATGGTGAGATCCTGGTAGTGAATCCGCAATACAGCTCACGGAGGATCCTGATGTATTGGGCTTGAATGCCCTGATTGGCTAGGGCTTCAATGACCACTTCCGTCTCAACAGAATCAAAGGCCTTCTTTAAATCAATAAACGTTAAGCAGAGCGGCATCTTGAACTCCCGAGAAACCTCAATGAGCTTGGTTATCGTGTGGATATGGTCGATGGTGCTGAATCCTTTGCGGAACCCTGCTTGCTCACATGGTTGTCCTTCATCTAGTGTTCTGCCAATCCTATTCAGGATGACTCGAGTGAACAACTTGTAGATGACAGACAATAGGCAGATCGGGCGATAGTTGCCAATGTTATGGATGTCTCCCTTCTTGAACAGTAGTACGGTCCTGCTGGTTTTCCATTGAGATGGAACCTTGCATTCAGACAGGTAGCGAGTGAAGAGCCGAGCCAGTGTATTGATGAGTACTGACGGCAGGTTCTTCAGGTGTTCAGGTCTGACCTTGTCTGGGCCGGGTGCTGTTTGCTTCTTTACTGACGAAATGGCGTGTCGGATTTCGGAAGGGAGAACGTTGGGAACGACATACCCATCCTGTGGAATTTGGTATGTCGGCAAGTGGACATGGCTATCGAAGAGATTTGAGTAGAAGTCATGGATAATCTTCTCCATTGCCGTTCTGGAGGATGTGATGGATCCATCAGGACGTCGGAGGGCAGTCATCTTGGTCTTATAGTTGGCGAAGGACAGGCGGGCGTTACGAATACTTTTCCCGGCTTCTGCCGCATCTACCAGTACTTCTGCTCTTCTCTCTTTGAGGTCTTCCTTGATCGCATCTCTGCACTGCTTTGCGAGCTCGGACGTTAGCTTGCGGTTGCCTGAGGCATGCGCCAAACCACGCTGGCGAATTAGCTCAAGAGTTTTCGAAGATAGGCGACTTTTTGTGGCTATCTCTCTCTTGGCGTTCCTCGCACATTCATGGAGGTGCTGAACCAGTCGATCGTATTCCTCGTCAATGTTGTCAACAATGGCATCTTCCCATGTTGCCGCAATAGTACCAAAGAGTTCCCAGTTGGTGGTCGTTCTGGGAGTTCTCTTTTTGAACTTTGCAGCCCTTTCTCCCCGCTCTGTGAAGTAGAATTTTGCACGAAGGAGACGGTGGTCCGATCCCGTTCGAAATTTTGGGACAACAGCGACATCAGTCAGGCAAAACCGTCGATTGAATATGATGTGGTCTATTTCGTTGTGGAATCGTCCACCGGGAGACTCCCATGTCCATCGTTTAGATTCTGCCTTCTGGAACTGTGAGTTACCATGAATGGTCTTGGTCGACATGATGAACTCAGACAGTCTCTCACCCTGTTCGTTCCATTCTAGGCCATGGGTTCCGATGTGAAGTTCTTCAGCTGATCTTCTCGGTCCTATCTTGGCATTAAAATCACCCACAATGATCTTGTAGAAGGTGTGGTCTTCTTTATAGAACTTCTCTAGCTCCATGTAGAACTTTTCGATTTCTCTTTCATCATAATGAGATGTTGGTGCATAGACAACGAAGATAGAAACTGCAGGCAGTGAGCCACATCTATTCAAATGTAAACGTCCGATTCGGGTTGTTAGGCATTCGAATGAATCAATGCTCTTGGCCAAGTTTGTGTTGACAAGGACACCAACGCCTCCAACACCTCTTTTATCGCATGTTCTGAGGAACAATTCTTCTCCAGTGTCGAAAACGGCATGGTGAGATTCGTGCCTTCTTGTCTCGGTCAGACCAATGATGTCGTACTTGATCATTCGCGCTTGTACCATCAGGTCCTCGATGGATGCATCTGATGCTAGCGTACGTGCATTGAAAGTACAGACGATCATTTTTGTCTTCCTTCGTTGTGGCAGCCTAGGTCGGCCTTGAGATTTTGTCGGCCTCTCCTTTCTCATCCTTCTCAGTGCTGCCATGTCGGTGAAGCCTTCAGGGTCAGGTGAATGAGACCTTATTCATGAAGAGTTATTATTAAGGAAATGTAAATAAAATATAACAGTATCACCTCATACCATGACAAGAGTCAATATAAAAAGAAATAAGAAATGTGAGGCTGGAGTAGGTAGGCCGTTTGCCTTGCACATGCTGACTTAGGTTCAATCTCTGGTACCCCAGATGGTCTCCTAAGCCCTGTAAGGTGTTATCCCCGAGCACAAAGCCATGAGTAAGCACTGAGCAACACTAGGTGTGATCCAAAGCCCCCCTCCAAAAAACATTAAAAAATAAAATAAAAATGAGAACTGGTGAATTCTCTATCCTAAAGATTCTCCCATCTCAACCTGGGATACGTACTCTCAGCAATTTTCCCCTCTGGAGAAACCCATGTTCATTCTCTCTTTCTCTACACTCATGTTTCTCTAAGTCGCAAATTTTCTCAATAAAAGTACTTTAATTGAGTAGCTGGAGAGATAGTATGGCATGCTGCATCTTACATGCTGCAGACTCCGTTCTATCCCTGGCACTACACCAGGAATGATTCCTGAGCACAGAACCAAAAGTAAGCCCTAAGCACTGCCAAGTGTGACCCAAAAAACAAGAGAGAGAGAGAAAGAGAGATAGAGCTTCCCACCCCGCAGAGACCACAAGTTGTCCCCCATGAGCAGCTCTCTGGCACAGCCATGGCCCCGGAGGCACATGGACCTAATTCGGAACCCAGCAGCTTTTGGCAGAAATGTGAATAGACTATGCATTAGGCTATGGTGCCGAGCACCCCCAGGAGGAAAAGGGTGTCTGTCTCTTCCGCCTTTTTCTCCCCCAGCAGCACGGAGGCCACTACCTCAGAGCTTATTGGACAGCCGGTATAAGCAAGCAGTGATGGGGCAACTGTGGCCGCATGGGATGGGGCGGGGGGGTGGGGGGGAACCGGCACATCCTTCCCACCCCGCCAAGACCATCAGTTGCCCCCCACGAGTGGCTCTCCAGCATGGCCATGGACCCAGAGACACACAAACCAATCTCGGAACTATGGCAGAAATCCCTTCAGACTTAATTAGTAAAATATCAGAAATCCAAAATCATATGGTCTTTATAACCAGCAATAGAAAACAAATTATTTCATGATGCCTTTTCAGCAGGTCTGACTGTTGGGGGAAAATTCCAAATAATGGTGCATCTTTTGTCGAAATCATGAATGTAATCAAAGTAGAGAGAGAGTTAAGTGGAAATCATCTGCTTCACACGCATGGGGAGGGGTGGGATGGGGGGTATATTGGGGTTCTTGGTGGTGGAATACATGCACTGGTGAAGGGATGGGTGTTTGATCATTGTATGACCGAGACTTAAACCTGAAAGCTTCGTAACTATTCTCATGGTGATTCAATAAATAAATTAGAGAATGAGAGAGAGAGTGAGAGAGAGAGAGAGAGAGAGAGAGAGAGAGAAATACTATCAAAATAATGATATCACAATTGATATGGATAATCCAAAAGCATTTAAAATTCAAGGGCTGGAGAGATAGTAGAATGGGTAAGGCACCTGCATTGCACATAATTGACCCAGTTTGATCCCTGGCACTACATTTGGTCCCCTGAGCACTGCCAGGATGGAGCCAGAAGGAAGCCCTCAGGCTCACTCTCCCTTGAACATGTATCTTGCTTGCCTGTCTGTTTCTTCGCTTGCTTCTTCCGCTCTAGAGAAGCCTATGTTCACTCTTAAACACGTACTTTTCCCTTTTTCTCCCATCATATTTCTAAATAAAGGTGCAATAAAAACTTTCTTGGGACTGAAGCGATAGTACAGTGGGTAGGGCGTTTGCATTGCACGCAGCCAACCCGGGTTCGATTCCCAGAACCCCATATGGTCTCCTGAGCACCACGAGGGATAATTCATGAGTGCAGAGCCAGAAATAACCCCTGTGCATCGCCGGGTGTGAACCAAAAAAAAAAACTGTTTTACAAAATTTTAATTAAAAAAAAAAAGCCCTAAACACACTCAGGTGTGGCCCCAAAACAAAACAAAAAACTACTTCACTTTTTTAAAAGAAGGAATAAGGGTGCTGGAGCAATAGCACAGTGGGTAGGGCATTTGCCTTGCACGCAGCCAACCTGGATTCTATTCCCAGCATCCCATATGGTTCCCTGAGCACTGCCAGGGGTGATTCCTGAGTGCAGAGCCAGGAGTAACCCCTGTGCATCGCCAGGTGTGACCCCCCCCCCAAAAAAAAAGGAATAGGGTTTAAGAGACATAGTTCAAAAGGCTGAAGAATATCTCGGGGTACTGAAGCCCTAAACTTGATCTCTGGCACCACATATGGTCTTCTGTGTACCACTGGGAGTAACCCCAAAGCACTGAGCTGGGAGAAGTCTCTAAGCACCATTAGAAGTGGCCAAACGGGGGAAAAAATAAAGAATTAAAAACTAGGGGTTGAAGAGATTAAGGCACTGCCTTGCAGATGATCCCAGATCAATCGTCCACACTGTAAATGGTTCCCTGAGCACCACCAGAATTGATCCCTGAGCACAGAGCTAGGAGTAAGCCTGAGCATCACCATGAATGGCTCAAATACAAACCAAATAAATAAAATTAAGAATAAATGAAGGAGGGGGCTGGCCATGTGGCTCAAGCCTTGCCTAAATAAGGACCGGGTTTCAATTCTTAACACCACAGAAGAGAAATGTTGAGGGGAGAAGCAACCCGAGGGCCCTGTTGGCATAAATGTAAAGTTATGCAGCCATTATGGCAAAAGGTAGGAAAAGCATGTGCTCCAGTCCTTTGAGTTGACACTCTGGCCCCTAGAGTAATCATTTTGTAAAACTTCACTTTAATGAGATACAGGCTCCTCTAGAAGCAGACAGGTACCAAGCAATGAAGAAGGCACCCAAGAAATCCACTAAGTGAATAGACAGGGGTTGGGGCAGGGAGAGGATCAAAGCTGAAGACAAGAACTATTTTTGCCTCATTGGGTAATCATGAAACTATCATAAACAACCTCAGGAGGACCTGTAATGTAACTTAGCAGCAAAACACTTGCCTTTAATGTCTGACCCTGGGTGTGATTTCTGGCACCCTGACACCCTACTGCCCCCCACCCCCAAAATTCAACTCAGTGCATACAGAGGCATGAGTTTAGAACAAAATGCTTGCCCCAGATGCTTCTTAAGCCACTGAGCTGTCCTGCTGGGACCTTGAAGAGAAAAATAATTTTTATCTCATCTCAAACTACTAGTTTATCAAATTAGTATCTAATTTTCCTTTGGTTATCAAGGAAGCCAAAGGAAAGGTTACCAAGGACCATTTGGTCCTCCAAGCACTTCTAGGAGTAATTCCTGAGCACCGAGTCAGGAATAATGCCTGAACACCACTGGGTGTGATCCATTCCCTAAATGGCCCCATGAAAAGAGTTAAGATTCTAAGATCCAGTAACATCTCCCTATAAGGAAATTCTCCTCTCACTGCCAACTGCAGTGCAAGGGCTTGGCATTATAAACAATTCAACAGGCTTCCTATTTAGTAATTTCTGAATCACTTATACAAAGTTCCCAGATGTCATGATGGCGCCCAAGGTCTGGGTGGGAAAAGTTCACAACTCCCCTTTACTAAAACTACAGAAGAAAATGTCTTACCTTCCTGGCTCAGTTTCTGGACTTCCTCAGAATCAGAACGCTTGTGAGTCTGCTGCTGTCTTGCCGTACTTATCACCTTTAGTGCACTCAGCTGCTGCTCCTCAGTGAAGACTGCAGAGCCCACCACTAACTCCTCAGCCTCTGAAAAGCAGCCCAGTGGAAGCAGTATCTGCTGCAGGTAAAGTTCTACCAAGGCTTGATATTCTGGAAGTCTCTGATTGTCCAAATCTTGGAGCCAACCTCTGACCACATCCAGCATGGCTCTGGGCTTTTGCATTTTGCTGTATAAAAGAATACTGCAAGAGAATGTATAAATTTGGGGTAAGAATGTGTTAAAATGAGAACTAGAAAGACATCTATTATATTTGCCCGGGGAAGAGATTATGATAGTTTAGAATAAGGCTGACAAGACAGACCTGAGAAATGTTAGAGGCTTGGTTGACCTAATCCAAGTCTTATACAACAAATGGGAGAACTGAGTGAGCCTTGCTTGATGTTTCTAATCCCTTTAGGTGTAAAAGATTTATTTTTATCAGCTCATATTAAAATAAGGTAAAATTGAAGATTCCTCCTTAGAAATAAAAGTGTTCCCTCGTGATTCATTAAATGAGTATCCTTATTTGCTTTGCCTGGCAAGTTCCCCGTGACATATTCGATATGCCAAACACAGTAACAACAAAGTCTCCAATGGAGACGTTACTGGGCCCACTCGAGCAAATCGATGATCAACGGGAGGGCCTTTACTTTACTTTTTTACTTTTATTTGCTTTGAACACTCAACAGGCTTCCAATTTGAAAACCTGTGGAACTTTTCCCTCAATCCAATTAGAAGGTAGAAACATATACTCATTCCCATATCTGCCCCTTGTAAAGACATGATGTCTGAATGCCAAGTAAGCAAACTAGGCTATTTTTCTGCCTGGCTTAGGTCTGCAATGATTATCTGGTAAATGAGACAAAGTTCTTTCAGTGTTCGTTAGACAGTTGAAAATTAGTTACTGACTTCTATTTAAGTGATGTTTATCTTTTTTAAAAAGTGGTCTCACTACAGTGGTAAATGTTGATCAAGTTATTGAGAGAACCTGACATTCTTCAAGATTGAATGACCACTTCCTTTGTATGAAGGGGGTCCAAACTTGATTCCCTTACTAGAATTCCCCCAACACAGAACCCTGAGTAGTCCCCAAGCACCTTCTATAGTACCCACAAACAAAACAAAGATCAAAAAGAATAGATAGGGCCTTTGCTACCAGGAATGATTCCTGAGTGCAGAGCCAGAAGTAACTCCTGAGCATCCTCTGGGTGTGACCCAAGAACAAAAACAAAAGAATCAAGAATTCCTAAGATGGAGTAAAAAAAGTTCTCCGTTCTGACATCCCTCTCCCATCATGCCACTTCTTATCTCCTATTCCTAGTGTTTCTTCTCTTCCTCTACCCCACACCTAATTTCCTCTTTTCCCGTGCTTCATTTTGAGGTTGGGAGAAAGACATAAACAACATCTCCCCAGAAGGGAGGTAGAATCATACTCCTCATGCAGTAAATTAGCAACAAAGACCTACCAAAGTTCCAGGACTTTGGGAGGTAGCTTTTCAGGGACCTGGTAGTACTGAAGAACCCAGGATAGGACTTCCTGCCACCGATCCATTTCTGCCAGGGCCTGGATCCCCACTACACATAGGGAGCATTTCACCTCCAAGGAGCTGTAAGCAGAAAGACCAAATCAGTTTAGAAATAGTTGTCCTCTTCCACCCTGGGCTGGAGAGCACAGGGGTTAAGGTCTTGCATGTGGCTCATGGCAGTTCAAAGCTCAGTATCACATGATTCCCCAAGCATCATGGTAGCCCTGGAAGCTCCCTGAGCATCACCACAGTGGCCTGGGTAATCCCCAGTACCACAAAGCTTTGAACTGCCAGCCCAATTGGCTAAGCATTGCCAGAAGTGGCCCCCTAGCTCCCCTGAGTACTTGAGAATCACCCTTCCCCCACAAAATTAAGCGGTTCTCCAATTTCATTCCATGGGACTTCTTCCCCAGCTCAGCACCAACAGCTCTGCTCTCCCATGAGTATTCAAGCAGATTTCAGTTACAGTTGATCTCATGATCTCCAACACAAAGAAATCTCTGCTTTGGGACAGAAATTAAAAGTTCCTGTAAATCTCTTAGAGGCAAATCAAAAGGCATAGAATGGGTTACTTAATCCTAAAATGAAAAAAATAGGTGCTGCACAGGTTTGTGGTTGAGACAGGTTTGTGGTTGAGACACTGTGCACTATCTCAATGCACAGTGAAAAAAGGGCACAGAGAGGTTTCTGCCTCACTGTACAACTTCAAAATTGTACATTGTAACACCACCTTGCAGGGCACCTCCAAGTACCCAGAATCAAGACCTTAAGCATTTATTGCAATAAACCCACCCAACAAAGAGCCGGTATATCCTTCTCTGGGAACAGCTTTAACTATTCTACTATAACCTACTTAATGTAGCTAAATCACTGTCGCAACTCACAGGCAAATGAAGCCCTAAGTAGTAGAACCTAGTAGCATCACAAAGAGCTATACTAGGCCAAGGTTTTCTCCGTGTTTAATCTTCAATACTTCCAACAACCCCATTCACATTTATTAGTTGAGGTCAGAAGTTGAATACCTCGGTGGCGGGGAGTATAACCTAGGAATCCTTACTGAACTCGCTAATTGAGATAACTCTTGCCATTCCACACTGGAACAGCGGGCAAAGGGTTCCCAACGCTGTGGATTCCCAAGCTGTTAACCACTTTGGATGCCCAAACTGCTACCACCACCTCACCACTCGTTCACAGTGGGCAACTCGGCCACCAATGAGAACAGCCATCGGTAAGGACAGAATTCCTGACTCAGTCATTCCCCCAAGGTCACCCGGGAATGACCAGAGCACAGCACGTACGTGCCCGCGGGCTCCTCGGACACAGAGTCCCTGGCCAGGTTCCTGCAAGCTAGTTCGCACGTCTGCAGTGCCTTCCCGAAGTCCAAGTGCACTACTAGGAGGTCCGCTGCCTCTTCCAACAGAACCGCCGCTGCTGCAGACGGGGCCGGAGAGACGCGCTCAGACTCGCTGCCCCGCACAGGGCCCAGCAAGCCGCCAAGGGCAGCTGCAGAAGTCGACGAGTCGCTCTTCATAGCCAGTCTGCGTCTTCGCAGCCGTCACAGTGCCCGCTTCCCAGGGGGCCTCCGGAATACTTCGAGTTGGCCCGGGAGAAGAAGGCACAGTCTTTACGGTCCTGCCTGTCACCCGAACCGCGGCCAGATCCTGGAGAAAGAAGTGTCCGCGTAAAAGCTGGGCTTGTGCCTGACCTCTTAAAAACTGGAGCCCAGAATTAGCAGTTTACATCTCGGATGTTCAGAACTGCAGTATAACTGCACGACCTGACCCAGGCTTGTCTGGCCTGGAGCATGAACCTAAACCATCCGGAGTGCAGTTCCAAATTCCTTTTGCCGAACCGAGCGCCAAAACGCCCAAGTTGCCCGGCTTTGCAGACTCACGGCATCTGGCGGCGCGGAGGACCATGGGAGCTGTAGTTCCCCCGCCGCTCTCACCTCCTAGGCCCTCTCGATGGCCGTTGAATCACTGGACTACAACACCCAGCATGCTGGGAAACGCTTGCCTGAGGGACAGCTAGGCTGTGACGCTAGGCCTTCTGGGTAGGGAAATGAGGCGGAGGCGGGTCTCCGAGTTGAGGGTGGGGAGGGGCACTGTTTTCACCAGAAAAGAGATCGCACTTCCCGCAGAAGCCAGGCAACAGAAATTTCATTGACGGAAGTTCTCATCTGAATTTAGGCAGAGATCGCAATTAATATCTCTGGGAAGCCGCCTAGGACTAAGGCGCTGAAAGGAAGTATCAGAGTTGGGCCGCCTTCCGAGGTGGGAGGAAGAAGGAGGCCGACCTGGGTTCGATCCCTGCCACCCCGTATGATCCCTGAGCATCGCCGGAGGTGGCCAAAACAAACAAACAAACAAACAAACAAATCGATGTGCTTTTCCATCTTAACTCCACATTCACCAGTGCTTAAAGGGCCCAGAATAACACTAAGCGCTTCTGCATGCAGTTCCACTCAATTCTTCCCTCAGTTCTGAGAATTAAGGATAACTTACCTATTTTACAGATAACTGGAGCATTTAGTTTGCAGAAGTCACACAACTTGTGATAAAAAAAAAAAACGAGTTGCTTTTGGTGCAAAAGCATATAGCCATTATTTTGTTTTGTAGGACAAGATTACATCACTGTAGCCCAAGCGACAGTACAGTGGAAAAGGCGTTGCACTCTGCAGACCCCAGTTCAATCCCTGGCGTCCCATACGGTCCCCCGAGCATCGCCAGGAGTAATTCCTGAGTGCAGAGCCAGGAGTAGCCCCTGAGCATTGCTGGGTGTGGCCCAAAAAGAAAAAACAAGAGAAGATTGTGTCATTGTTTATTTAGGTGATTCACAGTCACATGACAATAATGTTACATGATCTCACCGTACCATCATTATTTTATATGAAATTGATACTGTGAGAAAATACAGTGCAAAGTGCAATTTACGTTAAAATTCTACAATACAGGCTGGAGCAGGTAGTATGCTTGGTTTGCACGTGGCAGACCCAGTTCTATCCCTGAGGCCACATGTGGTCGCCCAGAGACTGGCCAGTGATGATCCCTGAACACAGAGCCAGAAATAAGCCCTGAGCATCCCAGGATATGGCCCATAAAACGACAAGATTACAGAATGTTGAGTATTCAGAGTATTGCTCTAACAGTAAATATTTTTATGTAAATTATGTTAGAGGCTACAACACCCTAAAGGAAAGAGAGAGCAAAAGGGAATGTCCTGCCATAGAAGCGGGGTGGGGGGGTTGCGGGGAGGGCTACTGGGGTCATTGGTGGTAGAGAATGGGCACTGGTGGAGGGATGAGTACTCGATCATTATATAACTCAAACCCAAACATGAAAGTTTTTAAGTCTACAACTGTACGTCATGGTGTTTCACTAATAATAAAAAAAAATTGTGTTTGAACTTTACCAGCCTCTCCAGACTTTATACTAGGACCTGAGCCCTAGTTTTGTTCCAGTTCCTTACCTGAAGGAGCACTTAAGCTATGTTACTATTATTAATAAAAGATTATGTTAATAGAAATTATTATTAATATGAGAAAAATAATAACGGTAGAGAATTTTAATATACCCCTTTCAACTATAAGGGGTATATTAGGAATAAATAAGGAATAAATAGCATCCCTAAGTAATTAACTAAACTATATGGATAAGTGAACACTTTTAGAACATTTCAACAAACTTATGAAGTATCAATAAACATCTGAATATTGAATTAAACCTACTATCTTTACTAATCAAGCACTGTCTAGCACTGTAGCACTGTCCTCCCATTGTTCATCGATTTGCTCGAGCGGGCCCAGTAACGTCTCCATCATGAGACTTGTTGTTACTGTGTTTGGCATATCGAATACGCCACGGGTAGCTTGCCAGGCTTTGCCGTGCGGGCGAGATACTCTTGGTAGCTTGCCGGGCTCTCTGAGAGGGGCGGAAGAATCGAACCTGGGCCAACCAGGTCAGCCACGTGCAAGGCAAATGCCTTACCCTCTGTGCTATCGCTCAAACCCTTACTAATCAAAGTACTATAAAATTAAAACTCAACAACAAAAACAATATGGGGGGAAACACCCAAATATCCTTCTTAGTAAGCAGAAACTGAAAGACACTTGAAAATAAATATGAAAACACAAATGGTCAGGAATATGAGTAATAATGACATTAAGAGAAATGACATTAAGAGACATTAAGAGAAAAGTTCCTAGAAAATTTCAAGACTTCATAAAGAAACAAGAAAATAACAAATAAACAATTTAAATTTGCAGATGGACCAGAGTGATAGTACAGCAAGTAGGACGGTTGCCTTGCATGTCACTGACCTGAGTTCCATCCCCTGCATCACATATGGTCTCCACTGCCGACAGGAGTGATTTCTGCATGCAGAGCCAGGAATAACCCCTGAGCATCATTCGGTGTGGCCCAAAAACAAACTAACAAATTAAATTTGCAGATGAGGCAACTGGAAAAAGAATAACAAATAAAACCAAAAGTGGAACCGGAACAGTAGCACAGTGGGTGGGGCACTTACTTTGCATGTAAGTGCCAGGTTCGATCTATAACACCACATAAGGCCAGGAGAGATCCCTGAGCACTGAGCCAGGAGTAAGTACTAAGCACTACCAGGGCTGGCAGAAAAAAGAAAATTTAGTGAAAGCCAGGAAGTAAAATAAGAACATAATAAGTCGATACAAATCAATAATACAATAGAAATTAATAACTGTTTTTTAAAAAAGATAAAGTCAATAGACCTTGAGGCTGACTTATTTTTTAAAAAATAGAAAGATCTAATAAACAAATAATTCAGAAATGAAAACAAAGAAATTACAACAGATACTATAGAAATACAAAGAATTCAAAGATAAAAAGGAAGAGGCACATTTTCAAGAAACATTTTGAATTAAAGAACCATGATTTACAAAGCTATTGATAGTTGGGTTTTCGTGTCAATATTTTGACACAAATCTCACCACCAGTGTCAACTTCCCTTCACCCAGTGTTTGCTCCCTTGCCCACCCCCAACTCCCTCCTGCTACCTTACTCTGTGTTTGTAGTTTAGATCTCATGTTTTCAGTGCAGTTGAGTCTGTGTTTTGTATATATAGCTATTCCTCTTTCCCACATCCCCAGTAAAAACAAGGGATCCTGACCTCATTCCCCCATTTCTCCCCTTTCTCATCTTCTTCCTTCTCTCCTTGATTTCTTTCCTTCTCTGTCCACCTCCTCCATGGGGTCAAGAATGATCTAGGCATCCTCCTTTACTATATTAGATTTCCTCATCCAGGTATTCTTTATACCACAGATAAGTTAGATTTGTCCTTAGATAGGTTAGATTTGTCCTTCTGGCTTAGGCTTATTTCACTCAACATGACATCTTCAAGTTCCATCCAGGTTGCATCAAATTTCATGATTTCATTATTTCTTGCAGCTGCACAGTATTTCACTGTGTACATAGACCACATCTTCATAGTCCATTCATCTGTTGCTTGACACCTAGCTTGATTCCATATTGTACTAAGTGTTGCAATAAATAATGGTGTGCATATGTCCTTTTAAAAAAAAACCATTTATGATTGGATTTCAGTCATACAGTATTCCAACACCCATCCCTCCATCAGTGGCCATTTCCCAGCACCAGTGTCCCCAGGTTCCCTCCCATCACCCCCACCCCCAACCCCCTGCCTCCTTCTATGACCAGGCGCTTTTCTTCCCCGCCCCCCCCCTCCTTTTGGGCATTGTGGTTTGCAATATGGATACTGAAAAATTATCAAGTCTACCTACTTTTAACCCTCAGATTTTTTCCAGCTAGAGCGATAGCACAGCGGTAGGGCGTTTGCCTTGCACGCAGCCAACATGGCCGACTAGAGTTCGATTCCTCCACCCCTCTCAGAGAGCCCGGCAAGCTACCGAGAGTATCTCGCCCACATGGCAGAGCCTGGCAAGCTACCCGTGTTGTATTCAATATGCCAAACACAGTAACAACAAGTCTCATGATGGAGACGTTACAGGGCCCACTCGAACAAATTGATGAACAATGGGAGAACCGTGACCGTGATCGTGATCATTCCTAGCTATTATTGTCATAGCAGTCTCTTCTCAATCTTACCTGCGCTCAGCTCCACACACACACGTGTGGTTAGTTCCAATCATTGCCCTGTCCTCCTAACCCCTGTTTTTCCTGGCCATGGATATTTTCTTCTACTATATATATGTATATATTTATATATACCATAAATGAATGCAGTCATTCTATATCTGTCCCTTTCCTTCTGACTCATTTCACTCAGCATGATACTTTCCATGTTCATCCATTTATAGGCAAATTTCATTACTTCATTTTTCCTGACAGCTGCATAGTATTCCATTGTGTAGATGTGCCAGCATATGTCTCTTTGAATGAATGCTTTTCTGTCCTGAGGATGGATGCCCAAAAGTATAATTGATGGGTCTTATGGCAGACCACTGAGTAAGTAACTACACTGAGAACTCTCCAGTCTGTTTTCCACCGAAACTGAACCAGACTACATTCCCACCAGCAGTGGATCCAAGTTTCTTTTTCATCACATCCCAGTCAACACAATGTGTTTCCATTATTTTTCATATTGCCATTCTCACTGATATGACATAATATCTAATTGTCATCTTGATTTGTATTTCTTTAATGATTAGTGTCCTCATGCGCCTACTAGCTATCTGCCTATCTTTCTCTGAAAAGTATCTGTTTACTTCCTTTCCCCATTTTTTGATGGTGTTTTGGATTTTTTTGGTAATTGGTCTTTGTAAGTACTTTATGTATCCAGGATATCAACCTGGATGTCCAATATGTTGAATGCATATTTTTTTCTTATTCAGTTAACTGTCTTGTAGCTTTAGACCATTTTTCTTTCACTATGCAGAAAATCTTTAATTTCATGTAGTCCAATTTGTTTACTTTTT